TTGTGAATATGGTTAGTTCATAATCTTTGCTGAAAACTTGAATACTGGCTTTACATATTTACAACAACAAGAGCAAACAGAGTTTGTAAAAGTTTTTCTTTATCACTTTTAGTTTAACAACTGAATTGCTTGAGGACAAGCAAAGGTTTACGCTTGGGGGAGTTGATACGTCTTCGTCGTATCTAATTTTCCAAACACTTTTGCCCTTGTTTTGGACTCTAACTTGCATGATTTGAATGGAACTAACCCGGACTGGCGCTGTTTTCAGCAGAATTGCCATGGTGTTATTTTTGTGCAGAAATAAAAGTTCTCGGAATGACCTAAAAATCAACGGAGATTATTTTTGGAATTAATAAAAAATACTGGCGAATGAATCAAGGCCAGGGGGCCCACACCCTGTCCACGAGGTTGGGGGAGCGCCTACCGCCCCTGGGTGCGCCCCCTGCCTCGTGGGCCCCCTGGTGCTCCACCGACCTCAACTCCAACTCTATATATTCAGTTCGGGGAGGAAAAAAATCAGGGAGAAGGACTCATTGCGTTTTACGATAGGGAGCCGCCGCCAAGCCCTAAACTCTCTCGGGAGGGCTGATCTGGAGTCCGTTTTGGGCTCCGGAGAGTGGAATCTGTCGCCATCATCATCATCAACCTTCCTCCATCACCAATTTCATGATGCTCACCGCCGTGTGTGAGTAATTCCATCATAGGCTTGCTGGACGGTGATGGGTTGGATGAGATTTATCATGTAATCGAGTTAGTTTTGTTAGGGTTTGATCCCTAGTATCCACTATGTTCTAAGATTGATGTTGCTATGACTATGCTATGCTTAATGCTTGTCAGTAGGGCCCGAGTGCCATGATTTCAGATCTGAACCTATTATGTTTTCATGAATATAAGTGAGTTCTTGATCCTATCTTGCAAGTCTATAGTCACCTACTATGTGTTTTGATCCGGCAACACCGAAGTGACAATAATCGGGACCACTCTCGGTGATGACCGTAGTTTGAGGAGTTCATGTATTCACTATATATGTGTTAATGCTTTGGTCCGGTACTCTATTAAAAGGAGGCCTTAATATCCCCTAGTTTCCAATAGTGCCATGCAAGTTCTTTTCCATAAGCACGTATGACTATATTCGGAATACATGCCTACATTACATTGATGAATTGGAGTTAGTTCCGTGTCACACTATGTTATAACTGCTGCATGAATAATCGCATCCGACATAATTCTCCATCACCGATCCAATGCCTATGAGCTTTTCATATATTGTTCTTCGCTTATTTACTTTTCCGTTGCTACTGTCACAATCACTACAAAACCCAAAAATATTACTTTTGGTACCGTTACCACTACTATCATATTACTTTGCTACTAAATACTTTGCTGCAGATATTAAGTTTCCAGGTGTGGTTGAATTGATAACTCAGCTGCTAATACTTGAGAATATTCTCTGGCTCCCCTTTTGTCGAATCAATAAATTTGGGTTGAATACTCTACCCTCGAAAACTGTTGCGATCCCCTATACTTGTGGGTTATCATGGGGTCCCGAACTGTGCGTCTGAGGATCGAAGGAAACAGGAGACAAGGATGACACGATGTTTATCCAGGTTCAGGCCCTCTTAATGGAGGTTAAACCCTACATCCTGCTTGATTGTATTTGATGTGTATAGGGGTTACAAGAGTCGATCTACCTCGAGATCATAATGGCTAAATCCTAGATGTCTAGCCTATGTGATTTGCGATAGCCTCTACGGACTAAACCCTCCAGTTTATATAGACACTGGAGGATCCTAGGGTTGTACAGAGTCGGTTTACAAAGAAAGGAAACTACACATCCGGTCGTCAAGCTTTCCATCCACGCAAAGGAGAGTCCCATCCGGACACGGGGCAAGGCCTTCTATCTTGTATCTTCACGGCCCATGCTACACAGCCCGGACACCCGAGGACCCCATAATCCAAGACTCCCTCACTCATTCCATGTGAGATCTCATTTTTTAAATCCTAGAAACACCCAAAGTAATGTAATTTGGAGGGTAGCTTTCAGGTGCTTTACATCTTCTTGGTATGAACTAAAGAAAAGAAAACACAAATGCAAGACATAAATGACATTTCAAGGAGACCTAACCTCCCCTTGCTTGATATCCTATGGTATTAGGTTGTTGGGATGCAATTCTCTTGATCCAAAAGACCTACATAGTAAAATTTCAAAGGCCTAATTTTTTAGAGGCCCTTCCATCTAAAGACTATCATTTTTCGTAAGGTTTGCTGACCCTTGTAGTTCTCTCCTACTACCTCTGGTGCACGAAAAGTCCAGGTTTCGGACATTGACATGATCCTTGAATACGACTTCCACCACTAGTTTCTATTGCAATGTGTGTATAATAACTAAATAAATTATAATATTCCAAAATTATTTCTTGTGGAAAAATCTATGTATTTGATTTTTAGGTTCTCAATCCAAATATTCAATGACTGATCACTTAAGACATGTTTAAAATGTCACTTTTTTGTCTACCATATGGAGTAATTGATAATCGTCTCTCTATGGTTATGTTTCTTGTTGACCGTGTATTATAAATCTAGCCTACATTGCTATAATTCAAAATCATGCAATCGTATCACAAGGAAATACCAAATTGCCCCTACTTGCATGTATATGCATACAAAAAAACGGATTCTCACATATACCAACATGACAAATGGATTAGCATATATCCTCATACGCACATGCGCCCAAACAAAAATCATTCACACATGTATTCCCATACACTATAGAATTGATCTTGCTTGTCCAATAAAAAGTCAGAGGTACCTTGCCTTGCCGAACCTGTGTTTATCTTTGCAATTGTATGCATAACTTATGCAGTCAATAGTTAACAAATCCATTCAGGATTCACCTAAACCTGAAATAATTTAGATAAAGAAGGTTGTTCTATTATAGTCACTTTATACACACACCACTTCACATTCTCTCGTCATCTTGAGGATTGGTTTTGCGACCAACACAATACACCCGCTTCGAGAAAGAGATGTCCGCCAATGGACACCGCACCCACATCGACAATGGCGAAAAGGAGATGTCCACTGAAGACCGCCTGGGGATCATGATAGGAGAAGCCCATGACTAGGTGATGCTTAAAGCCAACTATGGTAGAGCTATCACATGTGATTTGTAAATGGAAAACCAACTATTGTAGGAGGATTTGAATCTAGAATTAACTACATCATGGAGTATTCCATGCGGATCTTCTTACAAGTCATCTGCAAAAGGCATATCCCAGTCACCTCTTTGCCAGACTATGAAGGACCCTTGGATCACCGCCCTCCTTATGCATACAACATATTTACATCTCAACACTCTGCATTCTGAGCCGACTGAGATGATATTTTTATGTTGTCATGTAAGCTCACCGCCGATACATTGTCCCCCCCCCCCCCAGTGGTTGTGTTGCATAGAGGATGAAAGATGGGGCGGGGTGGGGGGAGCAGAGAAAGAGACAAAAAAATGAGCTAAGGTTGAAACTGTGTAAGGACGAGTAGGGTCATGAACTCACGATACACAAGGATGGTGGGACGATGTTGAACTTAGAACGGCCAGGGGTCAAGAATCAAATTACTTTTAGTACACTCTAATATTGAGCACTACCTTCGGATCAAATAACTTTTAGTACACTCTAATATTGAGCACTACCTTCGGTTTGAAATGCAAGGCCTTTCGAACATCGAGATAACTTTAAAGAGGGAATTCTGATCATAAATTGATCAACAAACATGTTAAATAAAAAATAATACTCAGAATATAAAATATATATGATAATTTTAGTACTAGTAGAGGGAGTAATATGAATTATAGGTTATTGAAGTTAGATGGTCGAACTTACAAATGATTGACCAGTACAAATTATAGGGACACTTATATGTTGGAATTTTTGGAAAAGAAAACTTCCGGAGAAAATTATAAGACACATGCCAACTAGAGGAGAAACAGAAAGGTCTTGTATTGGAAATGTCATTGGAACAGTCGCTTCGAACAAAACCATGAATATGTACCCAATAAAGGTCAATGGCGATGTAATTTTTATTGCTTCTTTTGTTCTTTGTATTGCCATTAGGTTTGATGAATAAATCGATTTTTTTATATTTCTAAAAAGAAGTCAACAGTGACAAATACTTCTTACGTTCCATAATTCTTGTCGTGGACAGAGGGAGTATATAACTAGTGAGATATAGTGAATTTATAATAGCCGTGAGCAAACTATTAGCCAAATAAAGCAATTTGTTGGCCGGTTTACCAGTATGTTACACGTCATACTCATATACTCCATCCATCCAAAATAAGCGTAGTTGATTTAGTATAAAGCTGTCTAAATCAGCTCTTGGGACGGAGGGGGTATACAACACGAACAAATGTGCCTGCTCTGTTCTAAAAAGAAGTGCTTAGCTCTGAACTTCTTGCGGGTGTAGAGAAACAAAGGAGTAGCGTTTTGTTGTCATCTGGACGCTATCGGTGGGAAATTGCAGTCCGGTGGAACATATATTAACCCGGACAATCCCAACGTAGACTAGCATCTTCTTCTACTGAAAACGACACAAATTGGCTATTACTACAACACACCAAATCTACGTTTTTCAAACTCCAATCACGATAGAACACAAATTCACACTTTATTCAGCGATACATACATGGAGAAATCAAAGGCACTTCTCCATTTGAGAGCCATGCATGAATGCATGCAGGCCGCAGCTCATGTCAGTGTTCGCTTGAGTCGTCTGGCTCCACATGAAAACGGGGCGCTGATCATCTCGCAGATTCGCGCGCCATTTTTCTCACATGATAGCAACGCCCCGGGTCCTCGCTGGGCGCTGTATTAATCTGATGAGGAAGACCAGTATTTAGAGCGTGCGAAGGCAGCAGTGCGGGCTCGGGCAGGAGCAGGACACGTCGAGTGTGCCGAGAGCCACTTCACAGTTCACACACAAACTTCCTCCCCCGTTTCACCATGTCGAAGGATGTGCTCGCCGACATCCCCGCCGGCGAGGCACCGGCGAAACGCGCGCCCCTCAACAAGTACGCCCTCGCCTGCGCCATTCTCGCCTCCATGAACTCCATCCTCCTCGGCTATGGTTCGTGCACCTCTCACCAGCCACGTACCCTGTGATACGCGCGTATGTGCAGCCATTAACATTCTTGTGTTTGTGCGTGCGCGCGCGGCGCGATGGAGCAGATGTCTCGGTGATGAGCGGCGCGCAGATATTCATGAAGAGGGACCTGCACATCACGGACACGCAGATCGAGGTCCTCGCCGGCATCATCAACATCTTCTCGCTCGTCGGCTCGCTCGCGGCGGGCCGCACGTCCGACTGGATCGGCCGGCGCTACACCATGGTCCTCGCGTCGGTCATCTTCTTCGCGGGCGCGCTCATCATGGGCCTCGCCCCGGGCTACGCGGTCCTCATGCTCGGCCGCTTCGTCGCCGGCGTCGGCGTCGGCTACGCGCTCATGATCGCGCCGGTGTACACGGCCGAGGTCGCCCCCACCTCCGCCCGCGGCCTGCTCACGTCCTTCCCGGAGGTGTTCATAAACACCGGGGTGCTCCTCGGCTACATCTCCAACTACGCCTTCCACGGCCTGCCCGTGCACCTCAGCTGGCGCGCCATGTTCCTCGCCGGCCCCGTGCCGCCGGTCTTCCTCGCTGTTGGCGTGCTCTCCATGCCGGAGTCGCCGCGGTGGCTCGTCATGCAGGGCCGCATCGGGGACGCGCGCCGCGTGCTCGAGAAGACCTCCGACTCCCCTGAGGAGGCCGTGGAGCGGCTCGCCGACATCAAGAGCGCCGTCGGCATCCCCGAGGGGATCGCCGACGACAATAACGACGAGTTGCTCGCCATCGTTCGCAAGAACAAGGGCACCCACGGCGAGGGCGTCCTGAGGGACCTGCTGCTCCACCCGACGCCGCCGGTGCGCCGCATCCTGATCGCCTGCCTCGGTCTCCAGTTCTTCCAGCAAGCCTCCGGCATCGACTCCGTGGTGCTGTACAGCCCACGGGTGTTCGAGAAGGCCGGCATCAAGTCCGACGCCAACACGCTCGGAGCCACCATCTCGGTGGGCGCGACCAAGACGCTCTTCATCCTCGTGGCCACGTTCCTCCTCGACCGCGTCGGGCGGAGGCCGCTGCTCCTCACCAGCGCCGGCGGGATGTTGGTGTCGCTCGTGACGCTGGCGTCGACGCTGCACGTGATCGCCCAGCGGGCCTCACCGGCGGACGGGGCGACGGCGCTGTCGGGGGTGAGCATCGCGTCGGTGCTGACGTTCGTGGCGTCGTTCTCGATCGGGATGGGGCCCATCGCGTGGGTGTACAGCTCGGAGATCTTCCCGCTGCGGCTGCGCGCGCAGGGGTGCGCGCTCGGCACGGCGATGAACCGGATCATGAGCGGAGCCATCACCATGTCCTTCTACTCGCTCTCCCACAAGATCACGCTCGCCGGGAACTTCTACCTCTACGCCAGCATAGCTGCCGCCGGGTGGGTGTTCATGTACTGCTTCCTGCCGGAGACGAGGGGCCGGGGCCTGGAGGACACCGAGAAGCTCTTCGGTGGTGGCGATGGCGTGGAGAAGGAAGACGGCCATGGGCATGCCAAGTCCACGGAGTTGACTACTCAGTAGTGAGTCAACACTGTATGCGGTACTACAGTAGAGTACTATTTAGCGGTCGTCCAAATGCTTCAATAGCTAGCTGAATATTCATACTTGTGAGCTTGGATTCTGCTGGTCAAATTTGTAGACATAGATGGATGCGCCTACGTACGGTCAAAAGTACTCCCTCCGTCTCATAACAATTTAAGATGTTTTTTGACACTCTACAAATGTTAAAAAAGTCCTACATTTTGAGACGTAAGAAAGTACATGCCAACAGCTATATAAGAGTCAAAATTGATCTTCAGTAACATGTTGAATACTCGTACTTGTGATTTGAATCCCGAATGACAGATTTCTAGAAATGGGTGATGCATTCTGCCCGTCAGATTTATAACAACTAGTATCAGTGTAGTGTCAAAAACACTCTTGTATGATGAGACAGAGGGAATACATAAAAGCTAAATTTGATCTTCAGTAACCTGTTTAATACTCGTACTTGTGATTCAAATCCTGAATGGATTCTCCCTATCAGAGTTAGATTATAGATGTAGTTGGATGCGTCTACAGTTAACCTCCCAAACGCCAACTCTAACTGATCCCCTATCCGGCTATAAGAAAGAATAAATTTGGTTTTGCTCAGGGCCTGTCCTGAGATTTCGGGGCCCGGGGCGAAACAAGAACTAGGGCACCTTATATATGACCTTCAATTTTTTGTTCTAACTTTCTAGATGCAAAGTCATTGATGATGATATCAATAGGAAGTGCCTAACAAACAGACGTCTGATTTCTATTTGGGCTCAGGTCATTTTTTTTGTCCATTATCGTGCTGCCACATGTCTAGATTTCAATTAGTCTAAAATCATCAGTCCCCGCCCGTTGCTAATAGAACCCGTGCTTACAAGCATCAGCTAACACGCCCGCTGCTATAACAGAACTCTTGCTTACTATATGTTGGGAGCTCTAATGCATGCGAGGAATAGGTCAAGTAAAGCGGTGTGTAGAGGAGAAAATGAAATAATCGATAATACATACAATGAAAAGCAAAACTTTGAAAAATAGAATCAATGACTTATGATACTAGTACAGATTGAGAAAATACATATGCTATTGAGCATAACCAGGCGATTGATTGGCAATACATACATGAAAGCTAACTGAAGAAAAAGATACTGACGATAGATGGTTCATAAAAAGGTACCAGTAGATTGAAGCAAACACAACAACTATAACAAAATAAAAATTGTGCACGGCGAATGACTTATACTTTAGAAAAAGCACATCGTCACCCTCAAAAAACTAAGAACTGATAGCAACATAAGCACACGAATGTCGATCCTTAGGGTTAATGAAGACTAGTAACTGAAATATATTGATCCTTAGAAGGGTAGTGATAACTAACTTTGAAGACTAAAAACTGATAACTGAGACTAAGAAATGAAGAAACTAATGAAGAATGAAACTAACTGACAAAACAGAAAAATGACACCTAGCTCTCAAAGTACTTACAGAAATAACTACACGATTGAAAACTGAAACATGACAGAAAACCTATGGACACTAAACAAATGATGTCACTCCCTCTTTAAAGACTAAAACCTAATGATGACTTGTACTAAACTGAAAATCTGAAAACTCATGCTAAGAATTAAACCAAAATATCAAAACCGATGATTGATGAAACACTGACGTCACTCAAACTAACCATGCAAGACTAAAAACTAGAGACAGAACACAAAATGAATATATAACACTGAAAACCATACACTGAACCCTGAAAAAACTGAAAACTGCTAACTAAACCTTGAAAATAACTAAGAACTATTGATTAAAAAAGAACTCCTAAACCATAACCACATATAACAATTGGCAGGTACACATTGACAATAATGAAATACTAAGAAAATACAGGAGATGCTTGTTGAATAATGAAAATAAAGGGAACTATGTAATAAATAATTTAGTAGGACACTCATGATTATAGACTGAAACTAAAAAAGGTTGAAATACAAATCGATAAAATAAGCTATAAAAATACTAATTAAATAAAATAACCCACCAATTTGAAAAATGAAAAATAAAGCTTAACCTCTCAAACGCCAAGTCTAACTGATCCCCTATCCGACTATAAGGAAGAATAAATTTGGTTTTGCTCAGGGCCGGTCTTGAGATTTCGGGGGGTTGGGGCGAAACAAGAATCATGGCCCCTTATATATTAGCTTCAACTTTTTGTTCTAACTTTCTAGATGCAAAGTCGTTGATGATGATATCAATACGGAGTGCCTAACAAACACACGTCTGATTCCTATTTGGCCTCAGGTCGGTTTTTTTGTCCATGTTCGTGCTGCCATATGTCTAGATTTCAATTAGATTAAGATCATCAGTCCCCGCCCGCTTCTAATAGAAGCCGTGCTTACAAGCATCAGTTGACGTGCTCGCTGCTGTAACAGAAGCCCTGCTTACTATATGTTGGAAGCTCTGATATATGCGGGGAATAGGCCAAGTAAAGCGGTTTCTATAGGAGAAAAATGAAATAATCAATAATACATACAATGAAAAGAAAAACTTAAAAATAGAATCGATGACTTATATTACTAGTACAGTTTGAGAAAATACAGATGCTATTGAGCATAGCTAGGAGATTGGTGGGCAATACTTATGTAAGAGCATATTTATCCCTAAGGTGTTTTGGTGATTGATGACAACGCGTTTGTGGACTAATGGTGTGCCTCGAGTATCCCAGACATTTCATCGCTAGGCACAAGACGGTTGGGTGCCCCTCGAAGATTGTTGAAGACGGTGTCTTTTCTACGTTTCTTTTTGGTGGATTTGAGTCGTAGGAAAGCCGTACTATTAAGAGGGGGTCTGCATTGGAAAGGTTTGGGTGGAATCATCACGTACACGTCTCCTTCTTGTCCCCTCCTTTTTTCCCTTGGAGCTTCCTCCGCTTTCTTGCCTCCCTGGTTCTAGCTGCTGGGTTGGGTTGCGGTAGTACTGCTCCCAGGAAAGCGGTAGTACCGTAGGCATCAGCGGTAGTACCGTGCGGTGGCGCGATAGTACCGCAGGTGCCCACGGTAGTACCGCTCCTTCGCGGTAGTAGGGTGGATGTAATTTTTTACATCCGCACCTACTGCGGTAGTACCGCTTTCGCTCCGCGGTAGTACCGCGCTATGCTGTTAGGCAGTAGTACCGCCCCTTGGTAGTACTACTATGTCGGGATTTTGCTTCTTCCGTTTCTTTGCGGAAGTAGGCACAGATGTTTCCTCCCCCCTGGCTAGGGGATTTCTGCCTTGCAGTAGTACCGCATGGAGGCGTGGTAGTACCGCGCTTGCGGAAGTACCGCCCTCAGCTCCTGCGTGTCAGATCTGACCTTGCTGTTGCTGGGGTTGCGGCAGTACCGCGGGCCAGTACGATAGTACCACATGGCTGTGAGGTAGTACCGCTTGGTAGCAAGCGGTAGTACCGCGCGGCCCTGCGGTAGTACCGCTGGCCGCGGGCTGGTTGGTGGGTAACAGTTGGATCTTTGTCCTACACTATATAAGGGGTCCCCTTCTTCCCCATTGACTCATCTCTTCCAACCCTAAGCTCCATTATTGCTCTAAGCTCCATTTTCACCCGATCTCACTCCCTAGCCAATCAAACTTGTTGATTTGTTCGTGAGTGGTTGAGAAGGCCTCGATCCACACTTTCACCAAGAGAAATTTGATTCCCCCCACTAATCCCTTGCAGATCTTATTACTCTTGGGTGTTTGAGCATCCTAGATGGTTGAGGTCACCGCGAAGCCATAGTCCATTGTGGTGAAGCTTCGTGGTGTCGTTGGGAGCCTCCAATTGAGTTGTGGAGATTGCCCCAACCTTGTGTGTAAAGGTTCGGTCGCTGCCTCCAAGGGCACCAATAGTGGAATCACGGCATCTCGCATTGTGTGAGGGCGTGACGAGAATACGGTGGCCCTAGTGGCTTCTTGGGGAGCATTGTGCCTCCACACCGCTCCAATGGAGACGTACTTCCTCTCAAAGGGAAGGAACTTCGGCAACACATCCTCGTCTCCACCGTCTCCACTCTTGGTTATCTCGTGCCTTTACTTGTGCAAGCTTATTTGTTTCATATCACTTGCTTGCTTGTGTTCCTATCCTTGTTGCATCATATAGGTTGCTCACCTAGTTGCATATCTAGACAACCTACTTTGATGCAAAGTTTAAATTGTTAAAGAAAAGCTAAAAATTGTTAGTTGCATATTCACCCCCCCTTCTGTCAACCATATCGATCCTTTCAATTGGTATCAGAGCCTCGTCTCTTTATTAAGGACTTTACCGTCTGAAGAGTATGGTTGATACCGTAGACAGTGTGGAGGAACACCGCGGTGCGAATCCGACCTCGTCTACGGTCGATGGGGGGACCTTGGTCTCTCATGAGGAGTTCAATGTGGCCTTGGAGACATTGAAAACCTCCATGACGACCGAGGTTGAAAGCATGTTTACTAAATTCCTTAAGGGGCTTAAACTATCCAACACACCATTGAAAATGGGTGATCCCACCGACAAGGTGACGGATGCTATCTCCGATAAGGGGGAAGCTAGTAGTGAAAAGGCTCCTTCTTCTAGTGGTAAAAATGGCACCGGTATCTTTGCTCATGTGGAACCTGTTGGAAATATGCCCTAGAGGCAATAATAAAATGGTTATTATTATATTTCTTTATTCATGATAAATATCTATTGTTCATGCTATAATTGTGTTATCCGGAAATCGTAATACATGTGTGAATACATAGACCACAACACGTCCCTAGCGAGCCTCTAGTTGACTAGCTCGTTGATCAAAAGATAGTCATGGTTTCCTGACTATGGACATTGGATGTCATTGATAACGGGATCACATCATTAGGAGAATGATGTGATGGACAAGACCCAATCCTAAGCATAGCTCAAAGATCGTGTAGTTCGTTTGCTGTAGCTTTTCTGAATGTCAAGTATCATTTCCTTAGACCGTGAGATTGTGCAACTCCCGGACACCGTAGGAGTGCCTTGGGTGT